ATGTAATCTAATTTATCTGTTTAATGCTTCGTTACAAACTATTTTATTCACCTTTAAAGAATGATTGTATTTCAATATAGTCAGAATGCGAATCGCATATATTACTTGTTGCTAGGTAGGACAAATATTATGGATTAATTCTCCTACCTAGCAACAAGTAATGTATGCGATTCGCAATCTGAGTATTGAAAGACAATTATTCGTAACAATTACATGATTTGTAATGAGGCACTTATAACAACGAGTTGTGCATTAAATGTTATTAAATCAAATTATATCACGAGTTTCTAAAATACTGCATTCGAATAATTAAACAGGTCACAGGATTATATATTTGTTGCATTGATTAGTATGGATCCACTAATATTGATAATTTTCTGGTTATGTCTTTCCTTATATTAGTCTTTTATTTTCCTCCTTTACTTCTTATGTTATTGTTTGTTGTTCTTATTCTTTCATTTTGTTGGTCCTCGCTGCATGTTATTCTTTGTTTTTCAATCACTCATCTTCTCTTCTTTCTTTCCAATATCTATTCTTTATCATTTTCTCTTTCCAAATTTCTTCATGTTATTCTTTGCTTTTTCTTCTATCATCTCTTATGTTATTCGTTGTTGCTATCATGATATAAATCGTTCTTCTTATCATTCATTTATGTTATTCGTTGTTTTTCTTTCTATCCCCTATTCTTATGTTATTTTATGTTTTTCCTTCTATCAGCTTTTCTTATGATATTCTTTGTGTTATTATTCTATCACCTTCTCTTTCTGTCTTTCCTTATATTATTCCTCGTTTCTTCCTTCTATCACATATAACACAATCGCAACTATACATGTATATTTGAAAAATCAACATTTAGGCAATTTCAATTGCCTAGTACGTCACATTTTGAAATGTGGGTACATGATTATGACGTATTACGTAGTCAAAGCATGATTTATATGGAATATACAATAGGTATTGAAATTGCCCTTGACTTAATTTTTCGAAAATAGTTGCGACCCTGTTGAATATATTTATTTCAACCTTAATAAAAAAAATGCTTTCTCTCTTTACATTTTACTGTATTATGTACTATACTCTGAACCATTCAAATCTTGTATTCTGTTTAAAAAAAGCATGTGTTTGCAACAAATAGATTCAAGGTTAACGCAAAACAATGGTACGACATGTTAAATTGTATACATTGAAATTAAAAGCAAGTGTACATTAAATTAAAAGTAAGTGTACATTAAAATTAAAAGCAAGTGTACATTCATAGTGATCGTGCAAATAATTATGTGAACAAACATACACATGGGTAACATCAGCTGGCGTCGTCCGCAATACACACCGATTTGCTGGTAATTAGTACATACTTAAAGGGATTGGGTAACTTTGCCTCAGATTCTTTAAAAGAATACTGGATTTAGCTCATGCTGCAATCATAATTGTAAGCCTTTAGATCATACATAAATCCCATGACGTTTACAAGCCAATCGCTTGTCTGATTTTCCAGATATCTAGCGATTGCTATATTCGATTCCACAACTAAAAGTCGTTATTTGCACACATAACGACAATTTCAAACCCTTCTGTTTTGTGGGAAGTTCTAAATTAGTACTATCATTCAAATTCCATTATAATATAACCTTTTCATTTGTTTGGCCTGCAAATAGGACATAGTACCTTTAACCAAAACTAAACAAATTCTAGACATTAGCAGTTCTGTGAAGGGAAATGGACAATCTGAAGCCAATATGATATTATAAATATAATTAAGATATAGATATATCAACATATTCCAACAAACAGTCTTTCTTAACAATTGCTCTTTTCTGTACAATGTGCTTATAAAGTTATGTAAACAAAGCTTAATCTATGACGAAATATTTATTATCAAAGATCGTGCTATTTCTGTACTCTTCATCGCTAGCTAAAGCCTGTGTCACACTAGAGCTTCGACCGGTCGTCGACTCCCGACAACCACTGGTCGGCCGGAGGTGGGAAAAAACTGTTACTGTCTGACCAGACTGGTCACTGAAAGATTTGTCCTTGGTTGTCCAAGGATAGGCGACAGTTCTCAGATTGCTTGGCGACTGATCGCCTTAATTTACCTTCAACGCTTGACGACTATTTCCAGGCGATATTTGGTTGATCGAGAAAAGAACGACAGCTGATCGACAAATGATACACGACTAGTCGCCGATCAATCTCCCAACTTTCACCGAACTAGTAAGGAATTTAAACGTAGACACTTTCGAATTGTTATTGTTGCTTTTACTGCTACTTTATAATTTTAGTTTTTTCATTTTCCATTGAAAGAAAAGAGCGAGAAAAAAAAATTATATGAAAAATATGAACATTAATCACTAATAAACTAAGTCCTGCCCATGTTTATGCTGTTTTATTCATGACAAACTGTTTTGAAGCTGTAGCAGGCTAGCGAAAATACTAAATGTCAGTCCAAAAGTAAAATAAAGTCTGATTTATTAAATTTATTAAAGACCAGTATTGGAAACGCCCCAAGTTCAAAAAATGAAATGGAAGCTCTTATTACCAATCATGTGAAAGAGTATGTTTTGACTTATACATGATGATACAATTTTGCCGGGAAACCGCCTACTTATTAATATATTTGGTAAATTAGTTTATCTATTTGACTGTGATAGATAACGCAAGTGTCGCGCATGTGTGCGTAGTCCCATATACATCTTTCTGTGTACAGTGCTTGTATCTTTACGAAGACTGGGCCAAATTTCTTATCATGTTGATGATTCCAGAACCTTGCAGTTCACACCAATACTTATATGCTAGATGATCAACCTTTTCTCAGCGATTATTATCTGCAAGGAGCTTCGCCATCTTCATTGTAGCTTCCATTTTTAATTTTTTTTTCTCTATCCCCTTTTCTGTTTTGTATTACTTTTTCTGATCAAATCATAATAACAGGCTTCAATGCAACATACTTATTCGTCTTTAAAGAAAAATGTAATAGATATGAAATAAAATTTCAAATAATCTAAACAAATACAATAAGCAAAAAGTGTATTATATGTTTGCATCAGTATTATTCCTCCCCAAGGTGAAGCTTGCCGACCGTCGTAGGAACATCGGTCATTGTTGTCGAGTTATTTGTTATTGCCGGTCAATGACTGACCAACTGCCAACAATTCGCCAATATTTCCATGAGCTGTTGCAAATTAGTTTACGAAAATCTTTGATGATACGGCAATTTCGTACACCATTCCGCAACTGATCGGCAACTGATCGCTCTCTATACTTGATTTCAAATTGGTTGTCGATGGTCACAGCTTTGTGTTGCTTGTCGGAAGTCAGTAACCGGTCGTACACTAGTGTGACTTAGGCTTTAAAAATAACATCATGGTAAATCGAATGTATTCTCTAAAAAATATCACTTCCTCTATATTTACGGTTAGACATTCATTATGATACACAAGTAAGTATATACCCCTAACAAAAGAGTTTGATATAACGTTTTACAAATTTGATTACGCCTAAGGCAATGGTAGTTTCGGTAACCTATCATGATAGATTTAAAGGTGCAACATATTTCTTCATTAAAACAATTTAGTCAATGGGAACTTAAATTCAATATATAACATTTTTCATGAGATGTTCTCCCTTTTATGGAAACCTCGTTATTTCATAATTCATTCAAATCTTAGAATTTCCGATCTCTCTCCTTTTCTTTACTTTGGCATATTTGCCCTCGCAATCATATTGAGTATGATGTCAATGTTTCCATCATTCACCAGAATGGTCGTCAGATCTTCATCACGTGATTCAAGGAAAGTCAAAGATGAGTCTAACACTACAAAGGCGTGTATGATTCTTCCCGCACCATCCTGAAAAGAAAAAAATAACACCTTTTGGTCAATACTTTAAAATCTTACTTTACCTAAATGGAATAGTTACCTTTTGGCTTTTTTTCTTCAAATAATATTGTTGTGTTCCTTTGAAGTTTGTCCCTTACTTCATCTATCATAAAAACAGGATCACAAAGACTTCGTAAAATCAAATGATGTACAGGGCTATTGTAGTTAAATTTCATTAATTTTTCCAAAGTCATTTTGATCGTTTAAACAGTTTTAATGTCAGTTCCAAAACAAATCTCAAACTTACTGCTTGGACGGCAATTTGATGTAGGATGAGTATGAAGTCATTCCATAGTCCGGACTCCTTTATTCTTTCCAAGGCCTTCGTGACGTCACGTTGAATCACATCAACTTCTAAGCGTCCAAGAGATCGTTGGTTACGTTTCATCCATTCAATCAGTCGCTCGGGTGAGGGGCTAGGCAGAGACGTGAAAGCTGAGATGATTGAAGTGTTGTCAAAAATACTGGCTTCTGGAAGGGATCAATGGGTCAGTAGAAACATCCATTAAATGAAGGGGAGAAACTTCTGAGCCCCGTAAAACAAAGTTGCATTCATTCGCAAAATGACAGGAACAAATATCATTAGCATTAATCATCAACCAAAAAAGCTGAAAATAGTGAAATCTTTGAAAGGAAAAACATGTGGAAATACTAGCTGTTGGCACGCGTTCAGATGGTCGACACACTTCACTAGATAATCCATTGAGAGAGATATCAGTCCTTACCCATAGTATTTTCCTCGTACTTCATGCTTCGATTCTCAGCTGATTTCTGCTTCCTTTGGCGAATCGATGCAAAGGTGTAAAGATACGGATTAAGAGACGAGTTGACGGGTAGCACAAAGACTGCTGTCCATGCGTATACCTTCAAAGAAAAGAAATATATTAATCGTTATAATAATGGAATGTACATTTTATAGCATATCAAATTAACTCTCAAGTATTTTCATGACGTCATCAAAATTGGAAACCGTTGTGCTACTTCTATGACTATTAAACAGCGAACATGAGTTGGTCTTCAAACAATTAAGCTTGAAAAAGGTTTACATTTATCTGAATGAATGTCTTTCCAGTTTGGTATTTCTTGAGGTAATACGGCCTGATCTTTCCACCAAATAAACAAATACTAATCTTCCCTACGAGTGACGGATGATAGCCCGTGGTTTGACCAGCAATCTAACAAACCGAACAACACATGCCCCCAAATAATCATGAGGGCAATTTGCTCTGCCCTGAATTTGTCTACGACCACATTATTACAAGTGTGGTAACGGAAACTCGCCTGTGCAGAAATTGTCAGAGTTCCACTCGCTGACATCAAGCCCATGACGATGATTGGTAACCAACAAACAAGGTCTGTACCAACAACAAGCGCCATCCTAGATGCCAGCTTGATGTTTTCAGCCAATCGCATATCCTCCTTAGACTTGTTCCTTTTCCCGACGATCCGCTGCTTCGACATCTGAAACATGCAGTAGATGGATATGTAACACAGGAGGGTCACCAGGAACGCCACGAAGTTGACACCTATGAACAAGGAGATAGAGTAGTGCCATCCTGCAGGACGATCGACTGTTAGGGGTAGAGCCAGACAGACTCCTGATTGACCGTAGAACTTCCCTTCGACGAAATCCGGGATAAGAGTTGGTAGAATGCCAAGGAAGGCGGCGAGGGCCCAGATGATGAGCTCAACTACTCGGGCACCACGAACAGAGAGGTGTAGTTGCAGTTTAAATGGCGACACCACATGGACACACCTATCAATGCTTATGACCGTGATCAGAAACACAGAAGCCTCGCTCGAGACAACGGAAGTGATACCCGCAACCTTGCACAGGATACTATCCTGCCAGTCATCAGCATGAGCAGCATAGTTCCCTTGATAATAGACATCAGCGGAAGCTATTGAAATCATGTACAAACCCATCAAGAAATCAGAGACGGCTAGGTTGGTGATCAGACTTGATTGGACGGTTGTATGCCGGCCCCATCCAGAATTGATGAGTCTATAGCCAACAACAAGGACGTTGCCAATGAAAGCACTGGTCCCGAGAATCCAGATAAAGATTCGAAGGATGTTATTGGCCATGAGATCTTCACAAGACGAGAACTGGTCACGTGGTGCATTGCAGTTAGGGGAATCCCCTTAACCCGCCAGGCAGCAAAGAAGGTATTTGTCAGCATACCTTTAAATAAAAACATATACGAAAATCATATTGGTAATGATGCTTTAGTTCATTTAACAGTATTCGATTCTAACTCTTATCTAAATGCTACATCAACCCCAATTCTATCCGTTATCTGGATTTCAAAATTTACAGAAGACGGTGAAGAAGAAGGAATGCATGGACAAGATTTTGAAGATGCACAGATAATACAAACAGAGATGATTAAATAAACAATCGGGAAAACTCACCCATGCTTAGACTCCCCTTACCATCATTACCACCTCCACGACATCCATTCCAAACCCAGAAATTGACATCTGTCGCAGACAGTGCAAACAAAAAAGATCCCATTCAACGAATCCTTTTTTTTTTTTCCTATGACTATGCTACAAGGAGTCCCTATTAGATTAAAATAGATTACCCCCCTTTTTTTCGAGTTTCATGTCTGCCGTCATTTATTTTTTTTCTTCAATTCTGTGTTTTAATATCAGATTTAATTTAGACTAATATATAGTAACTTTTAGACTTACAAGGTTTCTAGATTCTGTAAGCCTGGGAACGCGCCAAATTCAGTATCGCCTGATTCAAATATAAATGTGTTTCGAATATCCCTGCAAAGAAACAAAAACAAACAACAAATATTTATTGCTAGCAGATATTGAAAATGTAATCGTTATTACAGTGTATAGAACAAACACTTTATTCATTAATCGAATATTAATAATGTAGACATATTTCAGGATGAGTGAATACTCCGCACCGATTTTACCAACACAGAGAACACTAAGAACTTTAAGCAGTGTCAGGGTAAAGTTAGTGTTTTATTTTCGTGTACTAATTGATAAAATCACATTGCATTTATACAGGCAATGGGACAAATTTACTGTTTATAGAAATACACAATTCTTATTTCACATAAAAACATTCTCTACCTATTCCAAGCAAATAATTAAACATAATTTTATTTTTTATTTTTAAAGTAATGTTATGTCATCCGCTATACAACAGCTAAATTAAGCCCATAAACGCCTCTATTTGTTACAGGATATAATATTTTCTATTTCCAAAAATTGAATACAATGTGCTTACAACTCTTGGAGGTTGGTTAGGTTATCAAACGTTCCTATTTCAATCATCTGCAGAGGATTGTTAGAAAGGTTCCTGAAAGAGAGAGATAAAATTCTATCGATAATGAACGTTTTATTCCTCTTAATGGTATTATTGCATATGTTTATGGATCAGGTTTATATTGATTTAGGAAATTTTATATGTATTCCAAAGGATTGTGATAAATTTCCCATAGATAACAAACTTTAAAGATTATGAAAAGAATAAGCATATACATAATTCGAAACGAACTGGAGCTTAAATGGCATATTAATTGCAGCTAAACACAAATGAATTTACTGGATTCCAAATGCATTCATCCTTGTAGTGAGCTACACATGGAGTATTCGGAAAACTCTCTACACTGTTATTTTAAATGTAGTACCACGAAAATAGTAGCCTGAAAATTCTCAGACACACGTATTTATTCAATTCAGTGCAACATTTATTATAGATAATAATATAAAGTTTACAAATCATCAAACATAAGATCACTAGACATAGTACTCAAGACATAACAAAAATATAAGAACACATTGAAATGTAATATTATAGTATTAATGACTGCTTTGAGAGAAATAGTTGTTTTTATACGTTCAAGGGAAGGTTAGAATTGTGCTATTACCCGAGGCGTGCCGAGGGCAATAGCCCAATTGTAACCTTCCCGAGAGCGTATAAAAACAACTATTTCTCGAATATTAAAGCAGTCATTAATACTTTTATATGGCGAAAAAAAAAGAAAGAAAAAAAAAAAACTTTTGTCGAAGATGGGATTCGATCTTTTGCGTACAAAAGGTGATGTAACTAAAATCAGCGCCTTAAACCGCTCGGCTATCGCTCTCTGTTACCATACATAGCAGTTTTTTTTCTTATATATACATTAAAATGGATTGAAAACGGCTTCGCGTGGTGGATGCTTCGCGGCTGCTCCATTAAACAGGCCCTTCTTTTACTTTTGCAATGCATATTGGCACGAATTTAGATCAAGATCTATCGGCAGATGTTGTTTTTTTTTGTTTTTGGAAGTTTATTTTCGTCTTCATGTCAACAATGCAAGATAAAAATGTCGGTAAGATCGATCGAGATTCAATTGTATTGAAATTACCGACCAATTCTTCGCACACGTACGGTATCCTCGATCGCTCAGACCATTTTTTAACATGTAAACTTATGGGGTAACCATGGAGACTGAACTATTTTCCCAATTACCATGGTTATTGGGATTATAGAACTGTTTTAACCATGGTTACTGGGAATTTTACAGAAATAGTTGAAGTTTATGAATGCAATTTCGACCAATCAGATGGCTGGATTTCTTAAGTGAGGTATATAAAAACATATATAAACAAACATTAATAACCAGAAGCATGGAAAATACAATATAAAGAGAAACTTACAAAGTAGCCAATCGTTGTAGACCTCGGAATGCGCCTTTAAATAACATGTATATGTCATTTAATGCAAGATCTCTGACAGAAAAAGAAAAGGCAAACTCATCAGTACATCAACGTTCATCTTAAATGATAAATGATAATAGGCCATTTTCGTAACGATAACAAAATCTATACTTTAGTGCCCCAATAAGAATTAGTTCATTTACCTGTATCGATTAATTGTATTTCAATAGTCATTATGCAATTTGTAGTTTTTATTTAGGGCCAGCCAAAATGTTTGTCCTACCTAGCAACAACTAATATATTCAATTTCAATTCTGACTATTGAGATACATTTATTCGTAACAGCTGAATGAAATAATACAGGTGCCTCATATTTAGGCACGTGAACAAATTTGTTTACATTACGAAAATGGCCTATTGGGTCTTATTTACCCAGTGTAGCCATACCAGTATTAAACCTCGTCTTCCTGCAGGCCATGCAATTATAATTGCCCCAGCAGTTGTCAGGTTCCCGATTACACCTGGTTGGAGAGTGGTTTAATGTCTTAACACATGTCATTAGTGTCAGACTAGGATTCGAACCCACAACCATTGGAGTGAGAGTCAAGTGAACGAACCACTATACCACAGCACCGCCACTTTGTAAATATTCCACGAATTTGATGTTTCCAAACCTAATAGGGTTATTTCTAGGTAAATGATGAAGTTCTTGACAGCTACCCTGAGCTCTATTCTAATTAAATTGGATTGACGGTTACTTTTGAACTGAATAGATTAGTTGCGTTAAGTAAGTCTTGGAGCCATCAGAGTTATAACAGTAATAACAATATTACTAAAAAAATGAATACAATGTAACATTGTTTTTGTTTAAAGATAAAGACCAGTTATGGTCATGCGATTGCATTGTGAAAGAAACGTTGTGGAATCGATCAGAAAAGGTTGATCATCTAGCATATACGTATTGGTGTGTACTGCAACGTTCTGGAATCATCAAAATGATAAGAAATTTGGCCCAGTCTTCGTAAAGTTACAAGCACTGTACACAGAAAGATGTATATGGGACTACACACACGTGCGCGACACGTGCGTTTATCTCTCATAGTCCAATAGATAAACTAATTTACTAGATATATTAATTAGTAGGCGGTTTCCCAGCAAAATTGTGATCATCATGTATTAGTCAAAACATATTCTTTCACATGATTAGTAATAAAGAGCTTCCATTTCATTTTTTGAAATTGGGGCGTTTCCAATACTGGTCTTTACCTTTAATATAAATAACTATTTTTTATCGTGTATAGTTTAAAGAGGTATGCAGATGATGCTGTAAGACTTACAGGTGCAAAATATTTGAACTTTCTGAAAATGATCCGTGTTCAATCTCTGAAACTCCTGAATTTTTAAGGGCACTGTACAAAATATAAAGAAAATGATGTTTATATTTAACACAAACAATCAAATCGTAAAGGCAAAGAAAAATGTAATACTCATGAATAAGTTTCAATCGGAAGAAATTGTTGAAAAAAGGTATATGTTTGTTTATCAGTTTTGTTAATATCGATTTCATCATCATCATCATTTTTAATTGTCGTTTTACATGTAGGTGTTGAAGAGCTGCAAAGTCCCGGATGACTACTTAGCTGGTAGTAATGGTACGAGTGGTGGAAATGGTGGTAGCGGCAGCAGGGGCAGATCCAGCCGGTGGCAAGGGAGGGAACAGAGAGGGGGCCCATTCGTGAAATGGGGGGGGGGGGGGTTGGGTAGTGACAACACTAATTGTTGTTGTTGTTTCTCAATGGGGGCGGGGTGGGACGCGCTATATTTTTTTTTACTCAACATTTTCACAAAAAAGGTGTGTTTACCTGTGTTTTTTTGCCAGGGGAGGGGGCTCAGGCCCCCACCCCCGCCCCGCCAACGCCCCCGCCCCCCCCCCCAATGGATCCGCCACTGATCAGCAGTGGTTGTGGTGGTGGTGGTGTTAGTATAAATAGTAGTAGTAGTAGTCGTATTATTATTATTAGTAGTAGTAGTAGAAGAAGCAGCCGTAGTAGTAGCAGCAGCAGCAGTAATAGTAGTAGTAGTAGTAGTAGTAGTAGTAGTAGTAGTAGTAGTAGTATTAGTAGTAGGAGGAGAAGTAGTAGTAGTAGTATAGTAGTAGTAGTAGTAGTAGTAGTAGTAGTAGTAGGCATAGTATTTGTTGTAGTTGTTGTAGTAGTAGTAGTAGTAGTAGTAGTAGTATTAGTATTAGTAGTAGTAGTAGTAGTAGTAGTAGTAGTTGTTGTAGTTGTAGTAGTAGTAGTAGTAGTTGTTGTAGTTGTAGTAGTAGTAGAAGTAGTAATAGTAGTAGTAGTAGTAGTAGTAGTAGTAGTAGTAGTAGTAGTAGTAGTAGAGTTAGTAGAACAAGTATTACATTATTT